TATGAACGAATATTTTCTATGAAAATTTCTCGGACATTCAGGCCGGTAAATGTTATTTAATACTGTTTATCTTAAACAGAGCATTTGCTTAAATACTTGTATCTATAAAATAACAACGTTAAACATAAATAAAAATGTCTTTAATAAATATATATATATATATATATATATATATAGATAGATAGATTATATATATATATATATAAAGAGACAGAAAAAGAGAAAAGCAGATATATAGATTTATATGTATACTGCAAATTACTGATTTTATAGCAAAAATAATTTAGATTTTGTTAAAACTAAAAAACTAAATCAGTTTTCATGTACAAATGTAGTATATACATATATATATAGAGAGTAAGAGAGAGAGAGAAAGAGATAAATAGATAGAGTATATATAAAGAGAGAAATATATAGATTTATATGTATATTGAAAATTACTGATATTATAGCAAAACTTTATTAGATTTTGTTAAAAGTAAAATACTAAATAATTTTTCATACTTATATACAAAATGTAGTATATATATATATATATATATATATATATATATATATATATATATAGATAGAAAGATAGATAGATAGATAGATAGATATGTATACAGATATAGATATAGATAGATCGATAGCTAGATTGGTATATATATATATGTATGTATATATATGTATATTAATAAATATTTGATATCGTCGTCTCTACAGAGCTATCTATCTCAGTCTTTTCATTATCTATCTATCTATCTATCTATCTCAGTCTGCTCACATCTTTATATCTCTCTATCTTCCTGTGTTCATACCTGTAATCTGTCTGTAAATATATCGTTTCTTTTCCTGTCTACCTCCGTCTAGTTTCCTATATATATGCACGTCGCCACTTTCATCGGCTAATGTTTGACCAACTTAAATCTAATAGATTTATATTGATGGCGAAATCCCGCGGGAAATCAAGCGAATTGCCGGCCAATATAATTTACTCGATTATCCATTTTCATTATCCATTTTGATGCCGATTAATAATTACAGTACAGCGTTTACACACTTCACTCTTCATTCGACCTGATTTTCCTTCTATTCCTCTCAAAAGCCGCTTCATTGTATCCCACAACAATTACTGGCTGAGAAGCTAGCCTCTCTCGGAAGCAGGCTGGTTTAAATAATAAATATTGTAATAGCCCAGTCCTTCGTCTATCATCACTAACAATAGATTTGGAAGCCATATTTCGCTGATGCTGTAATTTTTAGCAATACAGTGCTTTTTATGAGCTGTTGTTGTGTAGCTCCCCCATAACCAGGTGTCGAGAGGGATTTTTCTTTAATAAGTTCGAAGTATTAACCAGACATGGTGAATTGGGAGTCACAATTAGATTCTTGGTAGCAGCCTTAACCGGGGACCGTCTGAACGGATTGGGTTACTCGATTTATAAGTATTTCTAACTGGACCCTCCTACCTGTAAGGTTAAGCGCTCTTTTTATCAAAATCTTTTTACCATATGACACATATGCCTGGTATAATCATATCCGAAAATTCTTTCATGTGTATATTGGCCATCGTATATGCTTCACCGACCGTCAATTTGTGGGTTGCTGCTATCTATCTATCTATCTATCTATCTATCTATCTATCTATCTATCTCCATATATATATATATATATATATATATATATATATATATATATATATATATATGCATCACTCAATCAATAACTGTTATGGGGTCCTCCCCTTTTTCATATAAGTGGACTCTACCAGTGTTACTTGGACTGCTGCCGTTAAATACCCACAGCCAGTCAGAATATACAAACGGAGATTGAGATATTAAGAAGACTGAGATTGTGATTGAGTTGGAGGTAGAGTAATAGTGTGAGGTAACCGCTTGAGGTAACCAGTTACAAGCACGCCAGACTCTAAGGAAGTCCTACTTCGAGACTGTATATATCTATATGTTATTGCTACTAACCGCGTTCCTGGATTTACTAACAGTATTACCCATTGTAATATTGTGTAAATACATTTAATTTCTTATCTTTAATTCCTGCGTTTGTCATTCATTGGAGACCGAATTTCATCTGGGAATCCACAAAAATAACAATAATTATTACATCCTTTTTTTTCTCCTAGTGATTTACTATCAAAGACGGTTGTAATATAGAAAGAATGAGGAATAACCAAAACGGAGGTTGAAAATGAAATGATAATCTTTATAACATCAAGAAAATACAATACTCGCCAGCGGCGTAAAGTAGGTAAACCACTGTTAATGAATGATTACTTAGATAACATATTACCCCCACTTACAATAGCGTCCAAATTATTTATGAGGATTGGGACATACTCATTAGTGTTCATAGGTACGATATATAACACTGTCTTTCTTTTTTTTCTTTCTTTCTTTGCCTCTCCTTTTCCTCTGTTATCATTTCTCTCTTTCTTTTACCGTCTTTGTTTCTCTAGCAATTTCTCTCTCTCACTCTCTCTCTCTCTCTCTCTATTATCATCGAATTTTCTTTCTCTTTCTTTCTTTCTATTATCATTGTCCTTCCTTCCTTTCTTTCTTTCTATCTTCCTTCCTTTCCTTCTTTCTTTCTTTCTTTCTTTCTTTCTTTCCTTCTGTTGTAACCTAGGAAGTGTTACTGAATGAGAAATAATGAAAACGGAGGTTAGAAATGAAATGGTAATCTTTATATCATCAATCAAATACAATACTCGCCAGCGATATGAAGTTGGTAAACCACTGCTAGTGGTGGACTTCTTAGACAGCATATTACTCCCATTTACAATAGTATCCAACGTATTTATGAGGATTGGGGCATATCCATTAGTGTCTATAGTTACTAACATAGAAACTGAAAGCCTTAAAAAATATACCAACCTCCGAACTGATGAATATTGTATGTTCAGGTCAATTGGAGGTAACATTTATATAACTGGAAGCGGTTTCAGTCGGAGATGGTTTGAGGAGATTGCCTTCCTCAAAGTGAAAGTCTTTCTGATTAGGCCCTACCTGCAAGATTGTCCGATGCGTTTATCATACCTATCATCATATCGCATAAATTTGGCTGTGATAATTGTGCTTGGTATACATTTATCAGAATATGTGTCATGATGAGTATAGTGGACTTTGTATACATGTATGTCAACGTCATTTTGTTAGTGTTTTACTCACCCATTTAATAATAATAATAATAATAATAATAATAATAATCCCGGCTCAAGTTGCCAAAATCTGTGACGTTCAGGCTACCATTGTTCCATTTATCATTAGGGATTTGGGGTCTGTACCACTAGAATTAAATTCCTAACTTGAGAAAATCGGAATAAGGCCTACTATACCATCGCTTATGAAGTCCGCATTGCCTAGCACTGCAAATATTTTTTTCAAAAGGTGCCATCTGTTTGAAGTCGTACGACTTGGTGGATAACACCCATTATGCAATAACTCTGGTTGAAAATGAAAAACCGTGAGGAAGAAGAAAGGATATTGTTACTACTACTAGTTGTAATAATTATAATAAAAATGAAGCTTAATTGTTAAGTTTTTCATCTTATTCAGTACAGATCGATTACTGGTATTCCTAGACAGCAGGACGAAAAATATCTATCTTTATTAAATAAAGGGCTCAGTGTGAAATTCCCTGTAAGTTACCTGGATCGAGTGGTCCCTAAGGTAATTTGGAAGGCACAAAGATCAAAACGTTGTGATAACTACAAAAAAAAAGAGGGCAGCAGTCTGCATGTAAATGATGATGATAACTCCTTATCCCAGAAAATAGAAACTACATTTCAGCCAATCGATTCTGCATCTTTTTTCAGATATAGGAAAGAAAGAGAGTAGGTTTTTCTTTTTCTAGAAAAGAAACAGTGGCATATATATGGATATTTTTCAGGCAACCAGTCTAGAAATTAGTTAAACCAGAAATTGCTTCTAAGGCAGACTGGCTCCACTGTTTTCAAGAAGTCAGATAAGGAATTATTTGTTGCTGTTATATCAGTAATGGAGCCAAACACGACCTTTGTCTTTCGACTTCGAGAGGAGGTGGGCACTGCCAAGTAGGTTACTTTAAGCAGTGTCATGAAATTAAATTACTAGGTATCTGGCGATCTAATAGGTTAATGGTTTGAACTGGAGCTCAAAGTATTTAATGAGATTAGATTAGCCTGGCTCAAGTCCAAAATTATACGTCATCTGGTGGTGATAATATTATATGTACTAATAGTGTAACAGTTATTGGCGCAGAAAGTGAAAGAGGCGTGTTGAGTTCAATTTCCCATGGAATTGGTCTCATGATTTCGCGTTAATACCCTTGGAAAAGGCCTGAATCCAACTTTCCTCAACGTAGACTGGGCTAGTTTAGGCGAATGAAAACCTTGACTTCAAACCCAGCCTAACGAGAAATGAGACTAGTTAGGCAACACTCTTGCTATGGCTGCATTACGTGCAGTGTCACCATGACACAGAATGCGTGACGACGCAACACACCTTTAACAATCTTTTGCTCTTGTGAAAGTTAGGAATCTCTCTCTTCTTCACTAGCTCTGAGTTAAATAGCAGGTTTAACTGAGCTCTCTTGCCTTGCATTAACAACCAATCAAGAGGTAACACACAAAATCATTCTGAAGAGAGATATACTTTGTTAGGATATATTGCCCTAGATATAACATTTCCTGCTATAGCTCCGGTACATGTGGTGCCACCTATAACCCTCATATGCTATAGAATTTTTTTATTGGTTCGGTGTTTTTGGTTAGCAGCATCTCAACCTTTATGGATTATTTAATGAGGAATCTAAATATTTTGTACGCAATTTGATTTGATTTTTTGGAAGTTAGTGATACAAGTCTTATTAATTAACCGATAGCTGGGGGGGGAGAACAGGTGGATGCGTAAATTTCCCAAGGATATTCGCGCGTAAATGAATATAACGAACGCAACGCGACTTGAACTCAGATCTTCGATTAACAATTACGAAATATCTATTAAACCACCCGCATATCAAAGCTTACAGCATCTGGTATTCTCAAGCGGTCACCCATCAAGGTACTGACCAGCTTCGACGTTGCCTAACTTCGCTGATCGTATGGTAACTGGTGTTTCATCGTGATATGGCCGTAATCCGGGGGATTATTTAGGTGATCTGGCACACTTTTACCAAGTTTTTGTTTTTTTATCTTTGGAATGGTATGAATCAATTACCCGTCCTCCAGCTATGGGTTAAATAGAAGAACATACTGTGTTCTATAACCTTGTGTAGTAACTGGCGGAATAGATACTTGAATTCAAACCGGTCTGGAGAGCGTTGATGCCTCGAGTTAAAAATTAGTCTACGAGAAGTAAAACTCTGAATTTAAAACCTGAAATGAAATAAGTTTCATTGGGTTATCTTGCTATAGCCATCCCACTGCTGATATGGCTGCATTACGTGTGATGACTACGACTCTAATGGCTACGAGAATCTTAACAAGTAATGATAAAACTTGGTATAATAATAGTGTCGGATAGGATACTATTTTACACGCGTATTTGACCTGTTCTTTCTTTCGATTCATGTCATTACGTGTAACATCCTATAGAAAAGAAACCATGTGTTCATTTTTCTCTTTTACGCTGACAGTTTTCAGGAGCAAGTACCCATAGTTACATATTACATAGATTAACAAAGGACAGCAATCCAATTCTGATTTCGCTTATCTAAAGAAGCTATTTGATAGCCTGAAATGAAAGGATTTCCTTATTGCACTCGTTTTTGCTGTTGTCTCTCATTCAATTTTCGCTTCATTTTACCAGAGAATTTAGCCGCTTTATGCTTCAGTAATAAAATAAGATTCTTCTTTCGCAATCCTATAACTTATACTGACCAAAAAAACGTTTTTTTCTAAAATTGAAACCAAAATGTTGAATAAAGTTTTCTTGGCTTGTTATCTAAAAAGAAAAATATCTACACCATACCAATTTTTATATCTACATAGTAAAACATATTTTAAAATATATAGAAAATGTAATTAAAATATTATTTTTTTATTTTATTTATATTCTAGCGCTAAACGGTACATACACCGGCAAAAATGTCTACACCGTACAAATTTTAATTTGGAATGCTAACAACATAGTAAAACATGATGCTACTTTGGCTTGTTATCTACAAGTAAAAGCTAATAAAACAAAATAGCACTTGTTTTACTGTATAGATATCATTCCAGTATAAAATTTGTACGGTGTAGATATTTTTCCTTGTAGATAACATGCCAAAGTAGCAGAGGTTTCTTCAATATTCTAACTCTCTTCAGTAGTAACAGTCTCACTTTTACCGGGTTTCTGTTAATGAATGCGTAGGCTAAACCATAAATTTCAAACCCTTCTGTACATTTTTTTAATCATTTTATCACAAGCAAGGCAATAAAGCCTCTACGACACAAAGAGTTATTGAGAATGAACATTTGGTTTGATTTGTTTGTTTAAAGGAATATCAACCTCTTATGCGTCATTTAATGACAAAATTTTATTTTGTAATGAGCCATGGTTACACATCCCTAAAAACCTTTCAATAAGCAAGGCAATAAAGCCCCTAAGACACAATTAGTTACTGAGTGTGAGCATTTGGTTTGATTATTTTTTTTTTTACTATGAAAATCTGTTACTGGTAATTTTTTCTAATGTATTAATATATTTTCATGTATTGACACCACTTTGGGTGTTTGCAATATTCCTTCTATATAAACCAAATGGATCCTAGTAATATAATAATGTATTTATTATAACAGACCCAATAAATAGTATTATACAACAAAATTTAAAATTACCTCAGATGAGGGATAATTTTCGTCGATTGATGAAATGATGTAATTTTTCGATTTTGCTGTCTAATACTATCTATCTATCTATCTATCTATCTATCTATCTATCTATCTATCTATCTACTATCTATCTATCTATCTATCTATCTATATATATATATATATATATATATATATATATATATATACTATCATTTTATAAATTCATCATACTGACTTAGTTACACTCAGTCTAAGAATTGTCTATACAAGTTTCTTCTTTCAAGTGTTATGGATTTCATGATGCGGGCGATTATGTCTTTTCACTATTTCCTGTTTTTGTTAATTTAAATAACTTGTTACTGTTTGCCATCCTTCTTTTTCTGTGTTATCCTATATTTGATTTGATTAGGAGTAGTTAATTTATTTCAAGCGGTTTCTTTAATCTAAGCAACCACCATGTTTCATGATAGTGAGAATCTTCCAAGTCTCAGCTCGAACACCGATCGACTGCATTGTTTATGGCAATTTGGGTAACAACGTTTATCTATATCGGATTACTTTTTCTTTCTCATGATCTTCTTATGTGGTAAACGAATTGAAGTGTGACAGAACTAATTTCAACTAAGAACTAATTTCAACTCGGAACTAATTTCAACACGGAATTAATTTCAACTCAGAACTAATTTCAACTCAGAACTAATTTCAACACGGAATTAATTTCAACTCGGAGCTAATTTCAACTCAGAACTAATTTCAACACGGAATTAATTTCAACTCGGAACTAAATTCAACTCGGAACTAATTACAACACGGAATTAATTTCAACTCAGAACTAATTTCAACTCAGAACTAATTTCAACACGGAATTAATTTCAACTCGGAACTAAATTCAACTCGGAACTAATTACAACACGGAATTAATTTCAACTCAGAAATAATTTCAACTCGGAACTAATTTCAACTCGGAACTAATTTCGACACAATTAATTTCAAATCAGAACTAATTTCAACTCGGAATTAATTTCACTCGGAAATCATTTCAACATGGAATTAATTTCAACTCAGAACTAATTTCAACTCGATTTAAAATCACAGTTATCCACTATCATGAATTCCTAAACAAAATGTAATGTGTTGGTGTTAATTTTTTTTTTAATTTAGCATTAAAAATCCTTAGTAGATAATTCAGAATTCATCTTTTCTGGAACATTTATTAATTAGTTCTGAGTTGTAATTAGTTCCAAGTTGAAATAAATTCTGCCCCCGAACTGAAATACTCAATTCTTGTTACAGAAGACGTAGATTATATCCGCAAATCATAAACCCTACCGTACTGGCCAGAACTTAGATAAACTGAATGAAATTGAGGAGGGGTTGACTCCTCTGTGAGTGGATTCCTATCAGTGATGAATTGTCATCATTTAAGTTATAATATATCTTTGGATTAAACAACAAAAACTCACGAAAACAGTTAATACTGTAGCAGCAATACATGCGTGAAGATGCCTTTCGCTCCCAGGTTCCTAGATGTGCCATGTCTTCAGCAAGCTATCCCGATGGCCGTAAGAGGGAAGCTGAGCAACCTGTTCACACACGTCCCCTCCATCTGGTTTCAGCTAAGAAAGTATTCTTACTACTATGTCCCCTCCTGTAATAAAGCGAGTAAGAAAGAAACTGTTCTTCTTTCATGCAATCCGTGATGCAGAGTCGGGGTTCTTACTGGGGAATTGCCGATAGACAACTAGTAGTAAAAAATGAAATAAAAAAACGACATACAACACATTTCTAAGCGCTCAAAAATCTTAACAATCGTCATTCTTTTTTTATACTAATGTTCACACGATAAAAAGCACGGATACCACTCAAGAAAGACGTTTACAGAATGGGTCTGTATCCCAATCTGTGATGGTTCTTTGTAGGACGTAGGCTTTTTCAGTGCGTGTTGGTCGGAGTGAAATGTTTGAGTAAACATGCTTCTTTTCGATTCATGATTGAGCAAAGGGAAATATGTCGAACCTGACGGGAATTCGATCACGGTTCTCCGATTTCTCATTCTGAGCCATTATCCATTACAACATCCGCACATCGTACATCTATGGTTACACTGCTTAATATTCCCAAGCGGTCACCCATCTAGGTACTGACCCGCATCAACGTTGCTTAACTCTATGTCAACGTGATATGGCCGTAAGCAGTTATTGAATAAGGTGAGTTATATATGTGGAGACTCATCTGGGAACCGACGTGGTCTTTGAAGGCATATCAACTCCTTATGGATCATTTAATAATCAAATTCCATTTTCTTGGGAGCATTTGTATTGTTGGTAACTTGTTTTTACTATGAAAATGTATTGCCGGTATTCTTACAATATTTTTCTTTTATACTTCCATAGTGTTTTGACAGCAATTTTGGGCTTAACTGTATTCCCATCACTGGTGGACCTGTTAACAACAGTAATTAAAAAGTGGTCCCACGTTCCTCAAAAGCTTCCGATCAGAAGCCTTGCAACAGGTTGTGGATTATCGTCATACTCATGACGTCGGCATGACGTAATGATTAACAAGCTTATTTCGCTAGATCAATTACAGCTGAGTAGCGAATTCGATCCTCACTAGGTGCTCCATACATTTAGCGTTGTGCCACATCAAATTACACGTAATGAATAGCGATATGTGGAGATTCTTGTCACCTATACTCGGTTTGGTTTGGTTCGGATTGGTTTGGTTCGGATTGGTTTGGTTCGGTTTGGTTCGGTTCGATTTGGTGTGGTTCGGTTTGGTTTGGTTTGGTTTGGTTTCTTTGTGGGTCCTTTAATGTCGACAATATTTCTTTTTCACAAAAGGTATTACTGCTATTAAAACCTATTTTAACACTTTCATAGTGCTTTGACCATAGTTTGGGGGTTAAATATTTACCAATAGCTTGGACCCTAACAGGTGCTACCACCCTAAGTCAGGTTGAGCCTGGGAACACCAGCAATTAAGAGGTAGTTGCACGCTCCTCAAAACCTCCTGATCAGAGGCCTCTCTGCCGGATGTAGTTTATCGTCTTACCCAGGACGCGGATGTAGTTTATCGTCATACACAGGATGGGAAATACTCGAAAAGGTCAGAGTGTTGAAAAAATTAATATTCATCATTTATCATCTCAAAAATCAAAAAAAAAATTAAAAATTATTAAGATATAAAAATCCTCATTTGTTTTCTCTTGTAAAGAAAAAAATCGAGGATAAGCGACAGGAAGAGGGCCGATATAGTCAGGGGTCAAAGATAAGAAGGTCTGAAGAAATACGGTCGTTTACTAGTTTCTAACTGACATCGTGATGTTTCAATTTCTCT